TCTCCCGGCCCTCGCAGCCGGCGCCCCCGCGATCCCGGGGCCCCCCCGGCACCCCCTGGGCTGGAGGGCCGCTGTCGGGGATCCTCGAGCCCGGGAGACGCGGCGAGGACGGGCCGGGGCCGGCGGGCTCAGGCGGCGGCCTCCGAGGAGCGGCCGTGGGAAGCGAACTTGGGGAGAAGGAGAGGGATGAGCGCAGACCGGGTGTGTGGGGAGCCCGGGACTCTTCCCCGACGTCCAGTGAGGGGACGGGCCGAAAGGCTTCTTTCTTTCGAGTTTGGCTCTTACTTGACCAGCGAGAGCTCTCGCCGCTGAGCGGTGGCCGGCCCGGCCCGGCCCGGCCAGGGGACCCGGCGTCGGGAGAGGAGCCGCCCGGCCGCGCTCCTCCCGCAGACCCTCCTCCCTGCTGGGCTCGGTCCGCTGAGCTGTCAGATGACTCTCGAAAAGAAACTGCTAGTGAGGGTTCACTTGGCTGAAACAGAGAGGCTCCAAGATTTAGTTTGTGTGCTTTTAAACGGTTGGGTAATATTTTATGGGTTTTAAACCAAAACTAGAATCTTGAAGAGAAGACTTCAGTACGTTTTTTGGTGGCCTTAACCTTCTCTTGAATTACGGGGTGTGTGTATTTTAAGTGGGTAATGTAATTATGAAATAACACCGGGCAGGGTTTTTTTAATTCATCCGGGTCCTTTCTGATTCAAGCTCTGTTGTGTTATCCCCTCAGTACAATGTTTGAGTGACCGCTGCGTTGGTTAACTGACATTGAAAGAATATTTTGTTGTTCTTGTTTGATCTAGTTAGCATTTATTATAGTGATCATTGTGTTTAAGGTCATTTTCGTGATTAAGGATTAAGAGAGAAGCTAAGTTAGACCTTAACCAGTGCTTACTTACTCATATAACTTTTTGCATTGACCAGTTAAAGTTTTCAAGGGTTAACCTTTCTAAAAGGTGAATACTATCTAAATTAACCAAAGTAGCAATAACAGTTTATTTAAATTAACCAGAATCACAGTTAACAGTTTCTGTTGAATCACTGGTTTCTCTCTGAGAAAGGAGAATGTGGCCTATAAGGCTTGAAAATATGGAATTTTAAAATAATATTCCAGTTTTTCATAATTTACATCATCTTGAGCAACTATCTTTTGTGTGTCAGGGTCTTCATTTTTTAACTGGAAATTTGCCACAGAAAGTTTTCTATGGGTATTTTTGTATTCTTAAAGCCATGGTGTGGAACATTAAAAGACCATGTACCATGATCCATATTTAACTATATTTAATTATAATCTACTTTTTGTCAAAAGATGGGTCTCACAGTGGAGTGTAAGAGGTCACACAGCTGTCATATGGAATTTTAGATCACTGGAAGAGAACTTTGAACACAATATCAGTGAGGAAAGTAAGGCCCCAAGAATGGAGTGATTTTTCCATGGTCCCTTAGCTATGCTTTTGAACTATGTGGAGGGTGAAATGGTAGTATATATTCATGATTGTATTAGCATTCAAAAATTTTAAGGAAATAGGTACTATAGACTAGGATTTTAAAAAAAAATTATCTTGTAAGAAACAGGTCTCGTTTGAAGAGTGCTGTATTTATTGACTTATAGTGACTGCATGGTCCATACTACCTTTGGCTAAATGTTAGCACAAAATTATTAAACTATAAGCTTATTGATAATACAATTGCTAGCAATTAATACTTTTAAAAAACCTACAATTATAGCCTTTTGGTGGATTTTACATTCTTTGATGACTTACCTTTTTTTGCCATAGGTTCTAGTTTGGAATATAATTTACTTTTGAAAATGAGTGAAGTCAGTGGAGACTTGTATTATTAAGATCTCTACTAGAGCATCAAAGCATATAGTTGTTTATCTTTGTACATCTCAGTGGATCCACCTATGGGTAACATTAGATAATTGCTTAACAGTTAATGGATAATTAAGTGAAATCAAAACAAAAACTCTTTAAAAGAAACTACACTAACACTTGAATAAAATATCTTGAGTTGAAAAAACAATTCCAGAAAAGACGTATTTCCTATGTCTCTATCCCAAAAGGCATTTTTAATTCGTGCAACGAAGTAACACCAAATGTTATCATTATCCACTTTTGCAGTGGTACAACTTGTTTTGGAAACCTGAAGTCTAAATATTTCACTCATCTGGTTGGGATATTTTAATTAATAAAGACCATATTTTTAGTTGTGTGCCTGGCAGAATATGGTTGCTTTAAGATCACAATGTAGGTTATATCTTGAAGGATCTTAAAGTTAATTTCAATTTAAAAATATTTATTTTTTTCTTCATATTTGTCATGTATCTGGTTCTCTCTGAAAGGAAAAAAAGTTACTGCATGTTCTATTTTAGTAATTGTCGTGAAATACCTGGTTGATCCATTATAATTTATGGTACATACACGAGAGGGTGAAAACTTACATAGCATTAAATGAATGTTTTCATATAGCAAGAGCTCAAGCCTATTACTTTTTATAAACTATTAAGATATATTCTGTTGCCCTTATATGTTTCATTTTTTTTAAGATCGTATAAATTCTTAGCTGAGGTCTAAAATTTGAATTTGAATTATAAACTCTTTAAATGCTTATAATTTAATTAGATGTGTTTTCCCCAGCCTCTTCTGAAACAATCTCCTTGGAGCAACCATCAGAGCAGTGGCTGGGGCACTGGAAGTATGTCCTGGGGAGCAATGCATGGCAGAGAGCATCGTAGAACTGGAAACATGGGAATTCCAGGAACTATGAATCAGATATCTCCATTGAAGAAACCGTTTTCTGGTAATGTCATAGCACCACCGAAATTTACTCGCTCTACTCCATCACTGACTCCAAAATCTTGGATTGAAGATAATGTGTTCAGAACAGACAACAATAGTAATACACTCTTACCCTTACAGGTAAGAATGGTATGTAAATGGCCTTATTTCTAATGTTAATCTTTCAAAATAGGAAATTGGGTGGTGGTAGTAGTATGGTAAGATTAAAAAAGGAAAAGTTCTAGTTTTTAAGCATATAATTATCAAAGAGTAAATACCTATACAGAGAAAATTGAGACTATAAGAAATTCTCTAAACACACAATAGAAAATGAGCTTCATAAAATATAGAAAAACCTGCTGAATTTCTTAAATACATATTGAAGCTTTTAATTGGCAGCTCCTTAAGAATGCCTTTATTTATTAATCTTTAATAGGCCACCAAAATGAGTTTCTCCTACAATATAGCTAAACTAAGATGTTTGTATTCGTGCATAGATTTGACTATGATCAGCTTTATGTATATTAGAATATACTTAGTACAGCTGTGATTTTGGCAAAATAATATTAGGGCTTTTTACATTGAATTAAAATTTGTCTTCACTGGTTCAGTGACTGTTTTTTTTTTAAATGTGGCCTAATAGTTTTGGTGATTAGACTTTTTTCCCAGGCCTTTTAAAAGTTTGTTGATATTATAGGTTAATGAAATTCCCTTATGGCTATTTAAAATGAGGGTTTTTTTTTTCTTAAAGCCATTATAGGACAAAATGAAGATAAAAGCTAGAACTGTGATTGTTTTTTTGTTTTCTTATCTTTTTTTGTGTGTGTGTGGGTGGGTATGGGGAAGAGAACTGCTTATTTCTGATGAAAACTTCTATGCTATTGAAGGTGAGATCTAGTTTGCAGTTGCCAGCTTGGGGCTCAGATTCACTCCAAGATAGTTGGTGCACTGCAGCCGGAACATCCAGAATAGACCAGGTAGGCTGCACAGTGTATATTTTTCAGGATTTGGGCTAGGAGTTTAGTATTTATATTATGAGTAGGATTTATGATTTACTTTCTGATTATACCTATTTAAGCATATGTCAGAGGGCGTTAAAACAATTTATTTTTTTAAAGAGTCACTTGACTTAAACTATTTAATATAAAATGCTTCATTTTCAAATTGAAAAGCAATTCATAATCATTTTATATTTCCAAAATGTAATAAATTTGTTTTTGGAAAAAGGAATTATGTACCCAAGAGCACCTGTCTTTAAACATCAGTCAAACTGAACGTTTTATCTTCTTTCAGAATTATTTGCAATTAGGGTCAAAATTGTATGTTTACTTAACATCCAACTTTACATTTCATCAATATTCTAGAGAAATTTTTGGTAAATTTTTGTCATGAAATCTGCATTTGTTTTGAGATATATTTCTTAAAAAGCCCTATCTTAGTTCAGTTTTTTCACATTTCTAAAAACTTCATGGTACAGTATTTCTTTATTCTAAATTTTATTACTGATCTTACATACTGTCTTATTCCGGATAATCAGTTTCCAATGGAAAATCCCAGAGTCAAAAAGCTGGGAGTTAGTCTTAATCAAATTACCTTCAAGCCCTTTGTGATTACAGAATGTTCTCTCTCTTCCTGCAGACTAAATTTGAATGCATACTGGGTACCAGATAATGAGAATTATTACAGGACAAATAGAAAACTCAGTCTTTACATATGAAGATTCTTTCCTACAGAGTCCGAGTTGAATGAGCATAGACTTGACATTGTGGGAGTCCACTGAATGGAGCTATGTTATCCTTAGCTAAGGCTCTTCCTTAGTTAATTTATCAACATGAGATGATTTTACAAGGACTGTATAAATAGGTTAATAATACGTTTGTAAATAGCATTTTAATCTGGAGGGTTAGCAGTAACTTCAATAATCAACCATTAGCACTTGTTTTAGACGAGCCTACCTATTTACCAAAGTAGTTCTGCCAAGATTTCCACTTAGAAATAAGTAGTTATCTCATATAATTTGTAATTTATTTTCTTGTTAATGTAAGTTAGCTATCCATCTATTTCTACTCTTTTTACCACTCTGGTTCAGTTAGGCCGTATTAGTGACGTTTTTGTAGTAGCAGTTGTATGTTGTTCAAATTGAAAACATAAATTCCTAGGAAAGGGTATGTTAGAAAAGGAAAATTATGACAATTATTTTGAAGGTGGCAAGGGACATGTTTTTAGAGAGGAAGGGACATAATTATTTGAAAAGCATGTGCAGGAAGCAGTAGAATACATATATGGGAGGTATATGTATCTATGGAGAAGGAAGAAGACAGATTAGCTGCTGTAAAGGGGAGATGGGTCAGAGGGCATATGTTGAGAAATTAGGTTATTGAAATGATACTGTCAGTTGGTGGAATGCCAGCGAGTAGATAGAAGTGATAAGGAAAGGGAAGTTTTCAAACTGGGTTCTGCAGAGGTACCCCTGAGGCTGCCACAGGATGAGGCACTCCCACTTAGAGGATCAATCAAAGCCACTCTGCTTTTACCTATTTTATAACCTAGGGTTTTAGGTAAATTCATTTTAGAAAAAAGATTTTGGTGCTTAAATATAATTTTTTTTTTTCGGAAACTGCTGAGATATTGGCATTCCCTGTGGACTCTTGAGCCAGAGGCATGATATGATGAAGCTGAAAGGAGTGATGAAAAAAAAAGATAGTGGAAAGTGAACTGAACTAGAAGGAAAGGAGATCTGAAACCTGAATCTTTTTCCTCTTCCTCTCACAATCTTTATAACGTTGGATGACACAGTTTATGTACTTTCATCTCTTTGGGTCATAGTTTCCTTATCTCTCAAAGGAGGACCCTGAACTAGGTCATGTAAGACTTTTTTAGCTAGCTCATATATTTTCTCTGATCTGTTTTGGCCATTTCTTTTCCTCCCTGCCTGCCCCCCCTTTATTTTTAGAATACGAGGGTCTTGGTTTATAGGTGGAAGGGATGGGTGAGACAGTGGAGGTGAAGTGTATGACTTCCCAACTGACCTTAAAAGCAATGTTGTTATCTTCTTTGAGGACCCTAAGGGTACTTATTTTATAAAATTTGTTCTGTGTTTCTATCTTTCCATAAAAGGTTGAGGTATTTGAAGTTGAGGTTCTTAAAAATACAGCAGCAGCTACAAACTGCAATTGGTATCTTAAACCGTTGGATAGTTCCTCACTATTTGGTGGAGTTAAAATTATAGAAAATACTTAAGCACTTAAATATTGGGGAGATTATTTTCATCTCTGATTCTTTTTCATCATATACAACATTTTAATACTAATAAATTTTAGTCAAATACATTATTTTAAAACATTTAACTTTTTATTTCCTTTAGTCTCAAATTGATTAGGCCTAAAAAATACTAAATTCTAGAACTGAAGTCTTGATTTTATACCTGGATACTTCAGGCCTTCCCTATAATTGAATTCAGTAAATGAGAAAGAAATTATTTTATAGGTTGGTTTTATTTCAGCTGTATGTAAAATTCTTCGGGTTGGCATGTCCTTAATTTAAATTAGCTATTTTTTTATGGAAAGGCTTCAAATTTAAAACTTTTTAAAAACAAATGTAAATTATTACCTACATTTCTGACTTTAAAATGAATATTAGGTATCTCTATTAATTTCTTTAAGGCTAAGAATTCCTTTTCTTTAAAATGCTGTTAGCTAATTACCCTTGCAAAAAATCATACTCAAAAGTGTGAATTCTAAATTACCTTAAAATTGAATTTTCAATTAGTTATTAAGGTTACAGTATATTTATTCATTAATACTTGAATATTTTGAATCAAAGAGTAAATATACTAGTAGCTGAGGTTGCCACTTACAAGTTTATATATGGCACATCAGTTCTCTATAAACAAAGCAATGTCATGCCTTTAAAACTATAATACACCCTGTGAAGCCTATAAGATGTGTGTTGGCCTGTTCTCTAGCTGGGGGATTATCAATATCTTCAACTCTAGATTTTTGCTTTTACAGAAGTTCTGCTTGTGATTCTTGAGCATGTCACATAAATTACTTTGAATTGAAGATATTTTCCACCAATCTTTAATATCTAGGCTACTACGAGAATGTGATAAATGATAATTGGGGATCTCTCTCAAGAAAATTTATTATTTGGAGTCTTTATGCACCTCACACAAAAAACAATATATAGTGGTAGACCAAGTTCAATTTTTCATTTAATAAAGCATTCCTTAAGTTGTGGTTCTTAAACTAGATGAGCTTGAGGGACACTGGTAGTCATCAAACTCTTATACCTGCTGAAAGTGAGAGAGAATGGGCTTGCTTCTACCTGCTTAGGTAATGGATGCTTTCTTTTTATGTTTCCTATCCTGTGTTCAGTTCTTTAATTGTGCTTGATATGTTCTTACACCATATATTTTCTACTTGGCTTTCCATTTTCTTTAATTCTAGTGGGTACTAGAATAGCTTTGGCCATTTTGCTCCTTTAAAAATTTTTTTTTAATTTTTTCTCAGACTCACTATTATAGCACTTTGTTAAAGATCAGAATAAATAAAGGAAGTTCAAGAAATGTATATTCATTATGTGTGTGGTAGTATTTTAATTATCCTTGGGATGTGTGAGGGGAAGTGCTATTCTTTGCCTTTGAGAAAGTGAAAGTCCAATTGGTTGAATAAGGGGTATCTGTGTGGAACAACTAGAGAATGATCTGAGAGTATGGGATTGAGTGCTACCTTGTATCGTGAGGCAGAGTAGCACATCATCTGCTGCTAAATCAATGGAGTGCACTAGCTGGTGGAGTCAGGAGTGTGTAATCAGTGTTTACTTAAAATTGAGGACAGTATTAGTACAGCTTTGCTTTATTTTTAAAGCAAAAATTGGAGAACTAAACACAAAAATACAACAAAAGCTGATCTTTCTATTTAGGCAGAAGAATACATGTTCAAGTATCTGGTATATCTTTAAATATGAGGCTATAAGGTTTTCCTATAATCCGTCTCCTTTTGCTTTGGGAAAATACATCATTGTCAAGTGGAGAAGGTTCTAGTTGACCACTTCTTTTGAAATAGAACAGGGTTTTGAATATATCAAAGCAAAAATATAACATCCCATAAAAAAGTTGCCTTTTAATTAAGTTTGAGTTTCTTTTGTGCTAATTTTAATATTGTTGACCTCCTTAGTTATCTTTCAGTGTTTATAATCTTTTTTCAGGTCATCCTTTTTAAGATTAGGATTACTTTATTCTTGCTGTGTTTTTCAGTCTAGAATTTCTAGTACTTTATTGTTGCTTCTATAAGTCTTTGTGGCAAATATCTGGGTTTAAGAAAATAAAAAAATATTAGAATATAAGAGATTATAGTTTTCCCACCCCTGGGTTCTAATTTTTGCCTGTTCATTGTTTGGGATTCTAATCTCAGTTTCTGAAAGCTCATTTAGTTGATTCTTTGCCAGATAGTTTTCATATTTAAAGTAGATTGGGGTAAACTTTTCCTGATAGAGATTCTTACTTTTGTGAAATATCTTGGCTGTTTTCAAATAGCCATGTAGTAGTAAATGAAAGTTACATTGCTTTGGTTTTCCATATGTATTTATGCTAATCAGTGTTGATGTGTTTATGGTTACTTTTAAATGGTTTCAGGATTTCCGTTTAGTTTTTAAACCAATGGCGGTTTGTATGAACACAAATTTTTCTAATTTCCCTATTTCAGAAGAACGCGTGAATGTTGGTTTTATAATCAAGTGTGTTTCTGGTTTTTTTTTTTTGTTCAGAAGTCGTATTTTAATACCCACACTTTATGGAATTATCTGTATTTTTTTTAACATGAACCCATAGGTTTCATTAAATCCAGAAAGTGATTTTGAGATGTCATGAGCTCTTTGCCTGCTCAAGGCTGTTTTGTGTTTGGTGCTGTAAAAATCATGTGGGATGCAGCTGATGCTTAACAAAGTATAACTAAGCTGATAGTTTTAAAGTAGCTTTTCTATTTTCTTTGTGAAAGTAGGAGTTTATTTCATGATGAAAGACTGGTATGCAAAGGAAAATAAGGCACCTTGTAAGTGGGCATCTCACTTACAAGTTGGACATAGGCATTAAAGCTAAAGCTATTAATTTTTGCAGCTTTTTTGAGTAACAGTTGTCAGAGTTGATTGTATAGTGGTCACTGATATTTACTGAATAGGTTGCTTACGTTTTTTCCCTTTATACCTTAAATATTGCCCATGGCCCATTGACAGTATATATAGAATCACTTCATTAATTTTACTGTGCTTTAAAGCAAGTAAAAAAAAAAAAAATGCTGTGTGAGAAATATCATTTGGGTGGTGTTAATAGTTACCATGAATCAAGTTCATAGGTTGACTGAAGATGGGGCATAGTCTGATTCTATTCGAAAAACATCAGCCTGGGGCCAGCCTGGTGGCATAGTGGTTAAGTTCGCATGCTCCACTTCAGTGGCCTGGGGTTCGCAGGTTCGGATCTCAGGTGCGACCTATGCACCACTCATCAAGCCATGCTGTGGCAGCATCCCATGTACAAAATAGAGCAAGATGGGCACGGATGTTAGCTCAGGGCTAATCTTTCTCAGCAAAAAGAGGAAGATTGGCAACAGATGTTAGCTCAGGGCCGATCTTCCTCACCAAATAAAACCCATGAGCCTGAGAAGATAGCCCTGTACTATAACACATTTTCTTTGCAAGAATTTAAGATAAATAGAATATAAAGTATAATATTCTCTTAGAACCTATATGATACAGCATACTGATATTTCTGAGGTTTCTTGCTTAATTATATGAACAATTTTTGTCATGACAAGTTTACATTTTTTAATTCTATTTTAAAAACAGCTTGGAATTTTTAATGTAATAGCACTTAATCTCCATTGTGTGGTCAGAAATTCAAGTTGATAGCAAGGCCGCATTAATATCTGATGCTCATCTGAGTTTAGTCAATTAACATTTGAGTACCTATTCTTTGGAGGTTCTCAGGATTTATGGTCCTTGATAATTAGCATTTAAAAATCACAGTCTTTGCCTTCACAGAGCTTAACTTAAATATTTTTGCAAAGTTTTTATGGTAGAGATGAAGTACTGTTCTTTCAACAAACATTTGAGAGCTAGCTATATTCCATAATTGGAAGGTCCCTATTTGTAATTAACTTAGAAGTTTAGTGGGAGAGGCAGGAAAATCAACAAAATTAGTTATGAGTAAAGCATAGTGGAAGCACAGAAGATGGAAATATTTGGACAGATTACTAAAATTGTATGTCATTTTTGCCCAAGGCCGGTGCTTTTCTCTAGTCCAGTTTTATTTTATTTATTATTACAGTACTTTGAGCTTTTTACTTTTCTATGATTTTTAAAGTGGACTTTAGGCGTTATTTAGTTCAATATGATTATTTTAATTTCTACAAGATGGAACAGAGCCTAAAGAGGTTTAGTAACTTACTCAAGATCAAGAAGCTGAGTGCTTGCTAAAGTGTGATCTCTTGACCAGCAGCCTCAGTATCACCTGGAAACTTGTTGGAAATACAGATTCTCACGGGCCACTCCAAACCTATTGAATCAGACTCTCTTGATGGGTCCCAGCAATCTGTGTGTTTAACAAGCCTTCCATGATTCTGAAGCATGCTCAAGTTTGAGAACCACCATTATAGCTCAGTGGTTCTCTATGCCTGCCTCACCAATCAAGGTCACTGTTCTAGTGAACCCCTGTTACTGATGGGCATGTTAACCTCAGTAAAACTAAGGAGTACCACTATAACTAATTGGTGATTAAGCTGGAATAAGAGCCTCTGGTCTAGCATTCTTTTCATCATTCAGTGTTACTTTTCCCACTTTTAAATTCCTTGACAGTAACTTGTTTAGTCTACTATACTGATTCTGGCCCCCTAGCTTTAAAAAGCTCACAACCCTAATTTAAACATCAAAGTAGAGTAAATAAATCAAGATATTCTTGGGAAAGCTTCTTCTGTTTTTCCTCAGCTTTCTAAAAGACTGGTTCTGAATCTGCTCTGGATTGTGGATACCTTTGGAAAACTGATGAAAGCCATAAATCTTTTCATCAGAAAAACAATTATGTGTACACACACGTACAGAATGTTGTATATAATCTCAGATTTCATGGTCCTTCTGGTAGCTCATGGAGCCAGATTAAGAATTGCCTAATTCTGATTTCTGTGGAGACTCTTTTTTCCCACTTTTCTGATTCTTCTCTTTTATTTTTCTGTTAATCATTTTTTGAGAGTTAAAAATGGCCTGCCTGCCCTGCCTCCCCCACATATACATACACTTGCACAAGCACACATAACACACTTAAATGGGGTGGGGGGGAGTGGTTAGCACTGTCAGATTTTGAGAAAAGACCCCCTGGTGATTTGGGGGCATGGGCCAGAGCTTGCTGTGGTAGTTCCCCGTGTATATTTGTTCAAGTAAACTGAATGTGTGTTGAGCACAATACAGTATAAATTCATGAGCGTTAAAGAATCAAATTCCTTTTAGTAAGCAAGTTGAAGGATTTAACATTCAGCAAACAAGACTTCCAAGTACACAAAAGACTTTGTTCTGAGACTTGATGAGGTAGGAAACTTCGTGAGATGAAAATGCTTTCACCCTTTCCTCCCCCACTTGCCTTTTTTGCAGAGAGGTGAGTGGGAAGGGAAGGATTAGAAGTGCAGAGACCAATATGTGATGACTTTAGAGAGCAAGATTTCACTATAAATATTCTAGGTGTGAGTCTTTGTTCTGATAATAGTATTTCATGCTTTTGATTTTTACTGTATAAGATGTTTATGCATTCATTATTGTGAAATTCTGACTACTAAGTCAAATAACATAAACGTTTGATAGATGTTTAAAGTGTGGTGCAATTATGGAATTAAGTCCTTTCCCCCAAAATATTTATTTTTCCAGTGCCAGTGTCTGTCTTCCTAGATATATGAGAAAAGTTTAGAAGTTAAATAACAACTAAAAATGCTTTGTGTGTGTATAACATTTCAGAAATCTTTATAAGTTGAGAATGATAACAATAGAAATTGAGTGTATTGCATTAATACTGCCAATGAAATAAGATTACTTTTGATATGTGATTTTGGAGATAAATGTATTAAATATATTGTCCTCCAATACAAGAGATATTGTAGCTCATGAGATCCTTAGTTATTGGTATTGTCTTGAAATGCAAACTGATTATTAATATTATGTTAATCAGATGTCCTATTTTCTGTAAGAAGATTTAGATAGTATATTTATCATTGCTTTTTGAAAAATTTGCATAGATTATATTGAGCCCTTTTTTTCCTTCTTTTCTAGGATCGTAGTAGAATGTATGACAGTTTGAATATGCACTCTTTGGAAAATTCCCTTATTGATATTATGAGAGCAGAGCATGATCCTCTTAAGGGTAGGTGACTTTTAAAAAAAATTCTTACATCATCCACCAATTTATCTGCTTATCTTACCATTTCTTATATGAAAATGTGCACTAAGTAGGACCTATGTCACCTATAAAATTCTATGTTTATTAATAAGAGCCTCTGTTTTTGTGAAATGTCATACTTTTTCCTTTGTAGCTTATTTTAGATTTATGCTGATTTATACAGAGAAAAATGTAAACCTGTGTCTCTTGACTGGTTATTTAAGAAAAAACTATTGTTTAGAGGTATTGTACAGTTTACCAGATGACAGAGAATGGATTTGAAAGTATATAATAGATCACTTTTGTAGAATTCTATCAAATATAGAAATATTAAAAATACCCTTGGAATACTTGCATTCACAATTTGCAGTGACTCCAACCTAGAATTATCCTAGGTTAACTTAACTTCCTCATTTTTCTTCTACTGTCATATCATAGGGTTTTGAAAGGGATATTTTATAGTAGTTTCTCTGAAGTAGAGAACAGCTCTTCATAAAAGTTGGGGCAAATTAGGAAAAGAATCAGCCCCACTGATCTTATAGTATCAGTCTTACTGTTAACTGTATCTGAAGCAATTTCATTAACATACTTGTTTTCTTTTGTCTCTACATTACGTTAGTAATCATTTTACATTTCTTTATGCAATATATCTCATTGCTTTTTATATTAATGGTGAAAATCTAGCAAAACTGTGTGAACTTGAGTGATGAGAGATATTAGTTATATATTGCTGCATAATAAATTATCCTAAAACTTAGCAGCTTAAAACAACAATACACATTTATTACCTCATACAGTTTCTGTGGGTCAGAAATTCAGGAGCAGTTTAACTGGTTGGTTCTGGCTCAGGATCTCTCATTGAGTCAAAACGATGAGTTACTTTGTAATCTTTCTGCGTTCTTAATTCCGTAAAGCCAAATAAGAATTCTCCTACGAGATTTAGACAAAAAACTGGAGAACTTCAGTGTTGGCAGCAAGTTGGGGCTCAGGGCTGAATTGGCTATATTGGTCAGATATCTAAACATTTTTGTTCCATTTCTGGATTTTGCTTATAATGGAGTTTCTTGTCTAATTCCTTTATTTTTGAGGAGCTTGAGAAGCTCAAGGGATCATTAGTGATTGTTGACGACATATGACCATGGTAATTCTCCACACAAAGTAATAAATACTACTTTTTTGGGTGGGATTTTTTGCTTCTAACCCAAATCCAGCTAGTTTTTTGAGTATCTGTTTATTGGGGTCTTACTCTCTTCTTTTTCACTGTTATGCTGACAGTCCCAGTGACATTTGTCTTAGATCCACTGTTTAAGAATAGAATCAAGCAGTTTATGATTAAAAAAAATTTCCCCGTGTTTATTTCCTTGTTATCTAGAAAAAAAATCGCTTAGAAATTCTAATACAAGATAAAGTCAACATAAACTGTTACCAGTGGATAATGAAAAGTTTTTCATTGTTGTTTCTCCCAGTCTTCTTTAAAAAGGCCGTTTGAAGATAATAAGAGAAAACATTCTCTGCTGGACTATTAATTGAAGGAAACCTAGAAAGAAGACTTTGAAAAATAAAATGGAAGTGGCATAGGCTAAGAGGAATTTAATAATAAAAAAAAAATCTCAAGTAAATTCAAAATTCTTTTGTTAGAAAAATTATCTTTGGCCATGGGAAGGGGAAAAACGTGCTCACCACCCGTTTAGGAATCATGGTGACAAATCTTTGTTTCTAATTGGAGTATTGTATGTTCCACATTTATTATGGCAGAGACTAAAAGAAAAGACATTTGAGAAACCTCTGCATAGAATAAAGAAATAAGATGGGTACTTCTGCAAATTGCCATCATATACCTATTTGAAATGATCTTGATACCCAAGTGCTGTCACTTAAAGATTTTTCTTCCTTTTCTTACTAGTATATCTTTCCTGCCACACTCCAATTGTTACACGTTTTCTTTGGGCTGGACTCAGTAAAATCTGCCAGAGCAAGGTTGTGGCAAATGGAAAAAACCAATCTGTGAATTTGTTTCCCCTTTTTTCCATTCTTGATCTTTAGGGCACCATCTTAGCCTCTACCCCATCTCTTCTATCTCATCTTTTCATCTTTTTCCAAAAATTCTGTCCTCTGTTTAATGCAAGGAAATTCTTTCTGTTTTCCAAAAAACAAAATAAATCTTATTTTATCCTTTTAAAATGTTTTCAAAAAACCAGCCATTTGCTTTGTCTTCCATGTAGAATCTAATGAAAAAGGAGAAGGGAATTATAGGGTAGATTTTTTTTTATGAATTTCTTGTTTCCCTTTATGTTAATGGTGAAAGATCCTAGAAAATTTCTGTGTGAATTTGAGTGATGAAAGGTTATATTAGTTATCTATTGAGGCATAACAAATGACCCCTAAATTTAGGAGCTTAAAACAATAAACATTTATTATCTCACAGTTTCTGTGGGTTAGAATTCAGGAGCAATTTAGCTGGTTGGATCTGGCTGAGTATCTTGTGAGATGGCAGTCAAGATAGTGGCTGAGGCTGCAGTCATCTGAAGGTTTGGCTGGAGTTGGAGGTTCTTTTTCAAGACGGCTCACTCATGTGGCTGACAAGTTAGTGCAGGCTGTTGGCAGGAGAGCTCAGTTCATCACCACATGGACCTCTCTCCACAAGGCTGTGAGAGTGTCCTCACAGTCTAGTTGCTGAATCCCCCCAGAGCGAATGATAAAGCTTGAGGCGAATGCCCCAGTGTCTTTCGTGACCTAGCCTCAGAAGTCTCACAGCATCATTTCCATGATATCCTGCTAGCTACATAGATCAGCCCTGCTCAACTGGGGAGGGGTCTACTCCTCAAGTGATGTGAATAGTAGGAGGGCAGGATGAGTGGAGGCCATCGTGGAGACTGGCTTCCACAGAAACGAAAGGCAGAAACTGTAAATTTTCATTCAATTCTACTTTTCTAAAGGAAAAGAGAAACTACTTAAGGTAAGAGTTAGTGTCAATAGAAAGAAAAGCAATCGTGCAGATCTCTGGAATCCAAAAAAAGTCAGTGGCAGGTTACTGACCTGACTGAGAACTAACTGTGCTAACAGAAAGACCCTCCCATTCCCACTTAAGCCCTAAATACTTCACTACAGTTTGTTTCCATTATCCCACTCCCCAGTGATTTTTACAGGTCAGTAGGGAACCTCCATTGTTTAATGTTAAGGTTTTTAGGGTCTAGCATAGCAGGTGGAAAAGGTCTTTTCTTGTTGGGGCTCTCCAGATGTGAACTGATGACAACCAAAGATGCAACTCTGAATGCACTTTAGTCCACTAAGTGAGCCTACTTTTGTACCAGACAGTGTCCAAGACCCTGGCTGAACATTGTGTGAAACAGGACATGTTCTCTGTTCTTGTGGAATGTATAACTGACTGGAAAAAGAGAGACCTTATACTTATATGTATAATATACATATGTACATATAGTATCCTAGTATAATATATGCATATCCTATAATATATACATATAACTACAGAGTGTTAGAAGTACTATGGAGGGAGATTGTAAGGTGCCTAGGGAGGTGTTAAGTGTGGGGAAGGGGTACCTAATTTAGATGTGGAGTAAAGAAAGCTGAGACCTGAAGCCTGAGCAGCCCAAAGACGGAAAAATATTGAGGGGAAAGTGTCAGCCAGACAAAGGGACCAGGGTGTATGGAGGAGCTTGTCATTTTGAGGAACTGAAAGCAGACTAGTCTTGGCATAGCTTGTTTAGGGCTGCCTGATGCTGATTGGGTGTAACACTGCCCAGCCAGCCCTGTGGAGTATGTGCTGTCGTTTGCTCTGGATCACAAACACTAACACACTGTTTTTTGCTTTCTTTAGTCTGAGTGGCGCTGACCAATCTGTTTTATTTATTCTGCAGTGGTTTCTCGCCATTAACATCCCATTTTCGGATGACTGTCTTGATTCTTGGCAAATATTTTCCTTTTCAAAGGAAGGACAAATATGAATTCTTTTAATTGTTAAAGTAAATCATGCTTTGCCGAGTGCAGTTTTGTGATTTTGCAGTTTTGTACTTGCATACCTATATTAAATAATCTGTGATCTTTTTGTGTATCTGTGGGTCAATTCATTCCCCCTTAAACAAAAGAACAAGACAGTGATTATTGTTAAGCTCTCTTGCCTCCCTGCCTCTAGCAATTTGCAAAAAAGTCTTACTGTGTAAGCATTTTTACCAAAAATTGCTTACTCCCTCCTCCAAAGCATAAGGGCAAACAAAAAAATTTAATTTCAGCTCATAAAAGTTGATTTGAAAACTATAGGAGGAAACGCAGTTTATATAACAGTTCTTGTGAGGATGGGTCTCAGTAAGTCACAATGCCTTTACCAGTGTTCCCTGAACAATTAAAGGGAATTCAGGAAAAGGGATTTAGAGCATGATTTTACACCAGCAAATGTTTACAAGTGGATGCCTTTAAAATGTTTTCTTTACTATGTGTTTTTGTATATCTAATAACATTTTTATTATTTGACTGCTAAAATATTCTCTAAGACTCCTGAAGTAAGAATTTCTACTTGTTTTAAGGAAAATAACCCCTGAGAAAATAAGGAATTACTTCTGTAAGGTGCCAAGTGGTTGTGGGTAGTACCAAATATTCTTGCCTCTTTTCTTTTCCCTCTGATTCTCTTCACTTGACCTTAATATAAGATTGAAGTACAAAGTCACAAGATAACTTGTATAAATTTCTAAAAGTCTCTGGTTGAGAACTTACATTTTAGAACATGAGAACTTTTGAGCTGGACAGAGGCTCTCAAACTCTGAGAGCATGTGTAGCATGCAGAGTTTTAGGGCATCACTCCTAGAGGCTGTCCATTGCAGGTCATGTAAAGAGCACGCTTGGAGAAACATTGGTATAGAACAAGATCAAAGAGATCTATGAAAAATCGTAAAAATTTTTATGATATTTATTAAAATATAGTAAAGCGCAAAATAAAACTAATACCAATAATATACATGCCAGAGCAGTTATGT